ATTTCTGTAGAGCCTCTGTAAGTGACTGTTTCATATTTAAATGCTAAAATATAGTTTTAGAATTGTGTTCCCACATGATCAATGAAATATGCCTGAGCAGGGATGATAGGGAGGATGTAAAATTAGACCGGATGATGATAATGAGACATTTCATTTCCAAGAATATTAAAGAAAGTAAAGGTACTAAATGTTGTGGTGACTAGATAGGATTATTTAATTCATTAACATTTTTTAAATATCCACTACTGGTGGGGCCTGTGTTAGTGCCAGGGGCGTGGAGGGTGGAAGGATACAAAGATGGATAAGCCATATCCCTGCCTTCAAGGCACCCAAAGTCTAGTCAGAGAGACAGTCAAAGAAATGATCATATAGTGTGATGGGGAAAGAGCAATGATGGCACATGTACAAAATGTATACAAGAGCACAGAGCGGGGGAGAGTTAGGTAAAGCTTCTTGGAGTTCAGAACTCTGAACTGTGTCTCAAAGAAACAGTAAAAGTCAGTAAGACAGAGATGTCAGGGAGTGTAGCAGAGTGGAGAAAAGCAGCAGGAAGAAGCAGTGTGTGTGCATGCGTGTGTTGTGTAGGAACTACTTTGTTGCTGGTAAAAGACAAAGAATAAGCAAGATGTGGAAAGAGATGAGACTGGAAAGGTAAGCCAAAAAAAGAGAATCCTAAATGACATGCTAAGGAACTTATATTTCGTTCTGGACTTGATAGAGGATAACTGAAGAATTCTTAGCAAGGGAAGTAAAATGCCAATAATGTGGAGGATGGATTTAAGGAGAGTAAAGCTTCATGCAGAGGCATAAGTTAGGAGAAGATAGCATCCACCTAAAAGTTTTGAAGGAATAGAAGGTAGAAAGGAATTTCTAGTCAAATATGTCCTATTGTCTTAAAGGGATTCTATTTTAGGGTGGTATTTCAATAGCATAACTCCTATTAAAGGAAGGCATCCATGTCAGGCAAGCTGGTAGAGTCTAAATAAAAAGTAGAATCACTGCATTCTTAAAACAAAAACTGATAGACTAAAGGAAATATAAATTTTGTAGGAGAATCAAACTTGTCTAATCTAGAATTATTTGAGGAAATATTGCATCGACAAGGAGAAACTAAACCAAAATAAAATTATTTAAATTTAGTTATGTACATACAGGGACTTATAATGCACCTATGACAAACAGGAACTTTAGAAATATGATTGCATTTAACTTGCAGATGGGGAATCAGGTTCAGAAAGTTCATCCTGTTTGCCCAAGTCACAGAGCAAAGTGGTAGAACTGAATTCAAAAAACCCATTCCAAAGTCCTATACTATACTACATATTACATTATGTTGCCTTGAAGTAGTAAATTGTCATAGTCTTATATTCAAATCCTAATTGTGCTTTTTCTTACACGTAGGCTTTGTGAGTCAGGCAGACTTTGGCTTGAGTTTCCAGTTCTGAACCTCTCTGAGACTTAAACGTGCTGTTTATAAAATGGATGTAATAATACTTGCTTCAAAGAATGGTTAAGAGGATTAAATAAGATAACATATGTAAAGTTTCTAGCACAATGACTGACTTATAAGACCTGTCAGTAAATGTAAAGCATCTTCCATATAAAAAACAATATTCCTTAGAGTGGGGGAAATGTTTATCATGTAGATGGGATTGGCAAAGAAAGGGGAAGCAAAAGTAAAGAGGATGAATGGCCATAATTCTAGATAAAGGCTTTTAAATAATGAGACACCACAGTGGTTACCACTGGACTGAGTATTCGGATTATTAAAATGAATTATCTCTAAAAATGCATAAGCAACAAAATCCCTAAGTTTGAAATGAGACTAAACTTTTCCAAGGAATGAAATACAATTTCAATAAGGAAAAATTATGGGGAAAATCTCAAAAGACTATGTAAGTAGAAAAATGGCAGGAAAGATTTGGTGTGGAAAAAAGAGGCTTATTGGAAAATTCAAAA